TTACAATATGCTCATTGTGATAAGTTAGGACCCAGGGTTTGTGAGTTTTGGGAATAAGGTTGGTTTGATATGCAAAGGGATTAGAACCTTTGGGCTGAAAATGAGGTAGAATAGTACGAGATAAGTTATCTTCAAGAATAGTATCTTCTAGTTTATACTTTTTTTCGGATTATCTATCAGGTGACCCAGAATGCTGTAAATTTGGTAAAACATGCTTCGGTACGGTAAAAGAGCTTTCAGTAATATATTTTAGAAGAAATACCATTCGAATAAATACCATGTCAGTAAAAATAGACTTGTATCTTTTAATATTCGGTGAAATGGAAATTGCACTTATCAGTAAAATTTATTATCAATTAAATGATATTTCGGTTAAATGAGACTTTCGGAATTATTCTTGTTAGTAAAATGGGATGTCAGTATTATGACTTCGGTAAAATGGTATTTCAGTAAAATTGATTTCGGGAAATTAACCCGTAACCAATATTTATATACATTTTATTTATTATTTATATAAATATAAAAATTACATAAATTTTATTTATATCTACATTTAATTTACTTGACTATTTCTCAAAATTAACGGAGATAATCAGTGTTCGATATACTAAGTAAAAATGTTCGACATACTAGAAAACCTTCTCAAACCCCTAATTAAGCTTTAAAATCTAATTCTAGCTTTAATAGTTAAGCTAAATATTTTACATAAAACTACATGTCTACTTTGGGTTTATAAAGCTACATAAAAATTTTACATAATTCTACATAAGTCTACTATTTGCGCCAATATCTGTTTAAATTTAGTTCATATTGAGTTTACGCAATGCCTTTAATTGCCCTGTAAATTGTATTAGTACATAGAATATTAGAGTTGGATACCACGTAAGAAAATTTCTTTGAACATATAAATAAGGGCACTTATCACCTCTGCATTAATTATTAAAACAACCCAAAAAACAAAGAATCTTCAAAAAAGAAAAAAAAAACAAATAATATTTGCATTTAACCTCATAAAATCATGAAGGCAATTAATGTCATTTTAATTTTTATGGTCTTTTTCTTTTTGCTTGATATTTCTAAGAGCTCTCCTTTGGAAAGACGTCAAAAAAATCCGTATGCTTTAATTCCTTATTCTCGTGGTTTAATTTATATATTAATTTACTAAGTAATTTTGATAACGACTTTCCAGATGCCAAATTGTAATGCTCATAATTCCTTATTCGATTCAATACTTTGATTTGTCAATGTAAACCGCTTCTAATCTCTATCTATTTTCTTTTGTAAATTTAGCAAGAAAAACCGTGTGGAAAAGATTCAAATGGAATCCCTTTCTGCTGCGCTATTGTATGTTCATTTTCAATAATGGCATAGGTATTTCTTTATTTATCATTAATTATTAATAATGTTTTCTCTTATAGACGGCAAATTTAACTTGTTGCCCAAGCGGAACCGGTTGCTGCAAACAATAAGATGGCTCCGTTTGTACAACATGTTGATTATTGATAATACTTTGGTTGGAATTCCTTATTGCTAGTGATTAGATTTTGCTTGTTTTATTATTATTATTATTTTTTTACAAATAACGAAAGTGCATAATTACACAGTAGATATTCTTATTTCGAATTTTTTATATTTATGAATTGGGCATTTGTCATATGTTTATCTGATGTTATTATTGTACCTACACACTGAATGTTCTTACAATTTAATTAAAAATCAGCAACAGAAAATATTTTATTAATCAAATGAACGTCATCTAAAAAAGAATGATTATTCTACTAATTTGAATATAACATAACTACTTGACAATTAATATAATTCTGTGCAAAAGTGTATGTTTTATACTAAACAAGATAAAGCGTTGAGCTAATGTGAATTTGATAGGCTAAAGTAATATAAAAATCAGGGACCCGGTAAAATATAGTTTTTAGTTATGAGAATTTCAAATTCTGTAAAATCGATATTTTTTTTGGGTCTCAAATAAGAGTAAAGAAAAGCATAATCATTAGTGATTCAGATTATGTGTATTATTCTGTTAACCGTTGCCCATTCTATTCTATTCTTCTCTTGTTTATCTCCCACTTTATTAATAAAAGTATTACTTTTATATATTTACAGCATTCCACTCTACTCTCGATTATAAAACTCCTACAGGGAGATCCCCAAAATTCCGGGTCAGAAGCTTCGGAATTCTGGTCGGAAGGGCCGGAGTTAATCAATTTTGCCCCAAGATCACTAAGAATTTTACTAATGAAACAATAGTCGTTCATTAAGTGAAAAGTGCCCAGCTGATAACTTTACTATAGCCTATAGCTCCCGTTAACCCTAACCCGACCCTAACCACGACGCATTCCGGCCATTTCGACCCGGAAATTTGGGATTCCCTGTAGAAAATGTTCCACACACCCTAAATGCTGGGGTAGTTGATCCCATTAATGTTGATCCCGATAATCGTGATTTCAAACCGAGCACAAGATTGTTGTCGGGTGAAATGTTGTGCATATTAATATGAAGTGAACGGATCCGTTAATATGCATGAACCTGTAAAATAAGACAAGTTAGAGTTTTCATTGGTTAAATTATATATATCAGAATTAACTTATTTCGAAAGTATGTGAGGGTTTAAAAAAATTATATTTCCATTTTGAACTCCGAAATCAGAAAGCGAAATAGGTTTACTTTCTGATAATATATTATAATCATGTAAAAAAAGTAGAATTTAAAGTCACCCAATTCAAAACAAATACGTCATTAATTTAATTTCGAATTCATAAACCTTAAAATTAATACTGAATCACCCTATCATTTGAGTGCCGCCAAGGGAAAATTTGTCATCGGACTTCCAATTATATTTTGCGTACAGTTAGCCATCTATGGAAAATCTATCATAAAGTTTATATAAATGGCTAACGATCATAAAATATAATTGAAACTCCGATGACAGGTTTTCCGTTCAAAAGTTCCAGTATATAGTCTATTTTTTTTTCAAAGTGACCTTGTATATTGAGATCATGATGATTATTTATTCAAATATATTTAATTGCATAAATAATAGGGACCGTGTATTGGAACTTTTGAAATATCCGGTATAATAAACGAATCATTATAAATATATATACTTTAAAAGATTTAATAATGCTGGACATCATAGACGGTTAGTTGAAATATTTGTCCAATTATCGTTAATATGGAGTTAAAGATACTACCATTATATCCTTAAGTTTTATTGTTGGTTTCTTTTTTTACGTAATTATTGGGATGCACCCTAATTTTTGGGGTGTGTAAAAAATGATAAACCTAAGCAAAATATAATTATGGTATACTATAAAGTTTCAGTGGATAAAATCGATTTTAATAAATATAAAAATAAGCAGCGTATGTGAAGAAGTGGCCTTTTATAAATATATTTATAAACAGGCTATATTAAACTAAAAAAAAATTTAAATACAACAGTTTTATATTGTGAAAAATTCAATTTGGTCAAAATATGCAAATTTCGTAAAAATTTTAAACTATAAATAACGGCTCGCCATTATATTTGACTCTCTAATGTTAAATTTTCTTATACGATACTAAAATTTCTAAATAATTAGTAGTAACTAATTCAATGATGAAAGTATCTAGTAATCTTCGTAAATTTATTTACCAATATATATTTTTTATATCTCTTTGCATTGTCATAATATCATCGAATTCAGTGATAAACCCCCTTGACAACTTTACCTACATTAACTATACGGAGAGTACATTAGGTACCACATACCCTCTTAGTCCACCGCAAATAGTAAACGTTCAAACTTATGATGACGGAACAATTCTTGTCAGTATTGCACGGGAAATTCCACAAAACAATTCAATAATGTTAGGAGATCCAGCGCAATTATATAATTGCACGGGACAGAGATTAGAGCAAATACTACGGTTAAGATTAATTCAATTAGATGGAACAATTAAAGAAATTATTCCCCATTTGAATCTGGATCCTGTGAATTATTGTATATTTAATGATACAAATGGAAATTTAGTGAATCCTATTTCAATATTTCCTTTATATAAACCGTATATTCTAATAAATTATGTGAAAGCCCCAGTTTTAAATGATTCTAGAACTTATGAAGAGTGGGGAAATGTTATTGATACTGATGGTAACAATATAAGGTGTGACAGTGATTTTTATATTTGTAAAATTTTATTATTATTTTAAATTAAAATTACAAATATCAATCTATTATTTTACAAATCATTAGTGAAGTGCATTATGGTCCGTCTTACAGTTATTATCCTAATGGAAATCATTCTAACACTCCGATTTGGAGCCCACGAAGTATATTTCAGCTAAATATAAACAAGAAACAAGGATTTTTTAGACTCAGCACTGCAGCAATCTTCTACAATACGGACCCGTATTATTCAAATTGGACAGAATGGCAGCAATATTCGGTGTAATTTGATGATGATTATTGTTTTTTAATTATTTTAATTGAAATATTTCTTAACCGATAATAATTATTTATTATATTTTATAGTAATTCTGGAATAATATCAAAACTGACAAGAGATAATATTTCAATAGTTGATCCGAATGTTATTAGTTCTAATGTTTCTTTCATGATCACGACAATACCCACTATCACTGGCGATTATGCTATACTGAGTGTCAACTCGTCATTGGTGGAGAACAATATTTCATCATTAGCCACACGAACCGGATTGTATATGACCACTATACCTTATAATCAGCCAGTTTCAAATAACCAAGTTCTTCTATACGAATTGGCTTTTTCCAATTTAACTTTTCTTGGACTTTATTGTGACATAGCCCCTAACGGTATCGGCTATATATGCATTATTGAAATTAGTAATAATCAACCGCAACCGACTTACATAAAAGTTAAATTTTTAACGTCCGCATCAGTCATGAACGTTAATATATTATCCAATATGCCTAACATTAGCAATACTGAGATCATGGCTCAAGTTCAAGGTTTTGAAATGCAAGCAATGGCATTCGGTGGTTATATATTGTATGCTATGAATAAAAATCACGAATATTATATTTGGCCTTATAGTGAGGACAGTAATGAGGACAACATTATTAAACCATACCGATTAGGACCTTATTCTGCAAACAATTATACAACAAATGCTCTTTATAATAATATTAGTCAGAATAACCTTAATGCCGCAAATAGTATTATGAGGAATAATAATACTTTTATACTTGCGTCATCCACACACACTACATATGCCTCTTGGTCTCTGTACATGATTCCATTACCTAAACTTATGAATGGTCGTGATATGCTTATTTTATTACATTAATCTGTTTTTAATATATCTTTATTAAGTATCTAATATTTTGTTACTTTGTATATTTTGTGATGGGAATATTTAGATAGTGGCTATGGTAATCTTCAAATAGTTAAAATTGATCCACAACCAATGAATACGACGACTTCAAGTGGTGGCATTTTTAATTATGAAAATACAAAAACAAAAGCTTTATTGATTACCTTTAAAAATCCTGTTATTTTGTCAACCGGCTCTATCACTATTTACAAAGAATCCGATAAAAGCTTTAGGCAAAATATTACTGCAAATATGGATAGATACATTAGATTTAAAGATGATAATCATACGATTGTCAGTATAGACATCATTGGCAGTACATTTAATGAATGCAATGAAATTTATTACGTACAGATGGATGCTAACTTTGTCAGAGATCAATACAGCTATGAACCTTTAACAGGAATTGGTGAAGATATCGTGAAGTACAAATCAGGTAATGTTTCGTTTTATTTATATTTTTATTTAATTTTCTTTAGTTTATTTTATATATTTAAATTAATCTTTTTATATAATTTAGAATATAAACCACCTCCTTCAGGTAATAAATTAACATAAGATTCCTCACAGCATTAAAATTTTTAAATCACTAATTTCTTATTCTTCTTTATAGAGGAAGCTGCTATCTGTATAGCTCGTCTCACTGCGGATGCAACAAAAAGATTTAGCAATCTCCCTGATGGCAATAAAACACAATACTTTAATAATCTATTACAAGATATTGCTAACAAGTTACCATGCCGCTCTGAACTTCTAACTATATATGGAGACCCTCAGTATATTTCTATTGATTATATAATAAGGATTCAATTTTCTATCCGTGTAAATATGACAGATCCAAAGCAAGATAAAAATAATACAGCTCCAGGGATTGTCTCCGATATAAATGATATGATCACTAATAAGGGAATCACCACTTTCTCCAATGGTAAAACAAGCGATTTAGATGAAACTTATGGCTTTAAAACGGCAAATGGTATTCTGGGCGATTATAAAGATAAAATTATTCCTGTTGCTGCAGCAGCAGTAGTGAACACTATACTTTATTTAGCATCTCGATCCAATACGGTAAAAATTTACACAATTTTTTTCGAATGGCTTTTATTTATTAATAATGTAAATAATAAATTTTTTACTGTGAATATTTTTGATAGCCTGACAAATACAAACAAAGGTTGAATGTATTCACAGCTGGAGTATTCACAGTCTCTCATACAAGTTTAACAAGCATATTTTCTTTTCAATATGTTAACAATTATCCGAAATTCAGCTTGCCAAGGTTTTTATCAATTTCCTTCATTGAAAATTAAACCGAATTTTAAATATTTTTGTTAACTTTTTATTTTAAATACGTAGCAAAATCTTATGGATTACTCCACTAGTAATAAATATCACAGTGTTTACCTATATTATATGCAAAGGCGGAATCAATGGAAAAAGGTTTCTTAATTTGATAATTATTGGTTTAACATTATATAATAGTGAAACTTCATTACTTATAAACCAAAGCCAGCTTAAAGAAATGTTTGATAATAATAAAAATTTTGAGGCTACAGCTAAATATAGAGGGCTTGCTGATATTTTACTTAAGAGTATTCCACAGCTGTTTACCCAGGTAAAGTTTTTTGTTTGTTTACTCTTCGATTACATTATTAATTAATAATAATTTATTATTCAAATATTTTTTTATTTGAATAGATTTTCTATTTTAAATTAATTGTGACTTATAGCATTATTCCATTCCTTACACTATGTATAACTTGCTTTATGATTTTTCTTTCAACTGTTCAATCGATAGTTGATTTGCTTAAAAATAAAAAGGAAGGAGAGGAAAAAGATGAAAATGAAGGTAATGATAAGAAAGATGAAAAGAAAAATGACGAATATGAAAGTAATAGTAAAGAAAAGGAAAAGGGAGAATTATCATTAGTATGATAGTTGAATAAAAAGAAAGTAAAGGAAGTATCGCGGACGAAGTGGATAGTTGTAGGAAATGAAAGGGTGTATTCAAATCAAACTTGTATCTAGTTGCATTGTTATAATATATTCATTTGTATATACGTGTATTATTAATAAAGAAATAGAGAATTTGAATAGAGCATGTGTGTCAGGCATCATTTTCAAATACAGAAAAGTTTCTTCAAGGGGTTTAAAGTAAAGGATGAAAAAAAAACCAAAAAAGCATTTAAAAATCAAAAATAAATAACAAAGACCTTAAATTTTTTGGCAGTTAATTGCATTTTAATCACTGCATCGATTTTTAATCTACAGACAATTGATGGCGACGACTAACCTCGTCCTATTTTTGACAAATTTGGAAATTTTCATGCTTCACCATATCTGGAAAATATATATGATGCGAGAAGTTTAAAAACCATAATAGCTCCCAGAGTTAGCTCTTTTCGAATTAGTGCGATAGCCGAATTTGTGATATATTAATGAACAATACCGAATCTTTATGGTTATTACGTTATATTTGCTGAATGTTGTGAAAGAACTTTACCAAGTCCTCCAATCTTCTTCCTTTTGCTTATTTTGACAGGATTTTTCGTAGCACATTTTCCGGTTCAATATTTAGAGCTTTAAGATTTACGGCTTTTTTCATAAATTCCGTTTCCTGAGGGTAAAATACGGACGCGAGTACCCAGCGTGATAGACAATTGTGTAATGCACATGATTTTTAATTTTCACTACTGTATGTGAAAAATTGCATCACACCGGATACTTGCGTCCGATATATCACTAAGAAGTTACGAAGAGTTAGGTGACCTTTAGGTTGAAACTGGAATTTTTTTAGTTTATCTCGGAATTTATGAGAACAGCTGTAAAAAAAATTCTACCAGAATTTAAGTGTCCCGGTCCAATATTTGAAATTTTAATAATTCTACCAGATCTTTTTCCAATTCTATATTTGGAATTTTTAAAAAAAATTCTGGTCAGAATTAGAATTTTAAGATTCTGACGTAATTTTTTCTAAAAAAAATAAACACACAACCAATATTTATTTTTTACATATAATATTTATAATATGCGTATAAGTATCTTTAATAAATTCTATGCCTATAATTAATTCTGTTAAAAAATAAATGATTAAAGGTATTAACATAAAAGCGGACTAAAAGAACATCTATACAGTTTTGGGGAGTCATATTTGGATCAAAATCAAATTTAGGTCAGGTCAAACTTCTAGATAAAGTATTGTTTATTGCAGATCTAACAAAAAGTAACGTACGTAGTAGATCATGAATAAATTTGTTCATTTTTTGTTTACGTATAATGCATAAAAACATGGCAAAAGCCGCGTTTAGAACTAACAATAGTAATAGGAAAAGGCGTAAAGCACTTACATAATACGTACGTACGCGTTTATAGATTATCTTGGATTCGAAGTATAAACTTCTAGAATATTTATGTATGACTTAGATGAATGTCTATGCACAAAGACATGCATTTAATGCGACAAGGACAAACAATCGAAAAAACGTAAATATAGATTAACAATCTTGGATTCAACTTCCAGAGTATTTATGTACGACATATTAATACGTAGGAGCTCTGAATCCCTCTATTAGATAGTATATTAATGAAATAAATGAATAGTGTGAAAAAGGCGAAAGTATTCGTTTAGAACATTGATCGATGATTGATTTCTTCGAAGTATTCGCAAAAAGGAAAAAAAATCAACTTTTTTTTTGTAAATATTACAATTTCAACCATTTCGAAAACAGCGATAAAAAAGGTTACTATCACTCTTTACTTAGAGTTACTATTTCTCAATGAAGTTGACTTATTTATCATATTCAATCGGAAATGTACGCAATATTAGATCCGAAACCTAATCATACAACCAATTTGCATTGTTAAAAAACAAATGTATAAGATGTATATCTGATAAAGTGATAAGTAAGTAAGTAAGTAAGTACGTACGTACATCCACATATCAGATATGTATGAATTGTAAGCCTCGTGAGCATTGAAAATATTATAAAATTGTATTTCATGAAATTAGTGTAATTAAATTCTATAAAGAGAAAAATACAGTGTTACGTATTACACGAATAAGAATCCGATAACCGCTTGGTTTCTTTATAATAATAATATTAAGATAATCGACCAATAAATTTTGACTAATACAAATCAGCCCAACAAAGCAAACCAAGTAAAAAAAAAAAATTTAAAAAAAAGAAAATAAATTTTCATAAATTCGCCCGACTTCCTAATTTGAATTATAAGGCCATTCCTGGACCAATACAGAATATCATGTGACTCTTTTAATTGACCAAAGTAATGTAAATTGAATGGAGCAACATAAAAATAAAATAATCAATTTTCATATGACATCTTGAGATATTAAATAAATATTTATTATAAGTATGTATATATACAGAATAATATATCCGTATTAAACGCCATATGGCGTCTCGCTAGTGCGGGTAAAAACATATATACCGTAAGTACAATATTCATATCCTATACTTATATGTGTGACGCCAAGAGAAAATGGGACATTGGTTTATAATTGCTTATTTATTTAAATAATCAAAAACCTATTTCTTATTTTCCCTTGGCGTCACTCATATATCATAAGGCTTTATATCAATTACTAAATTCATTAACGTAAATAACCCAAAAATTTCGATACAACCAAATTTATTCATGATCATGCACCATTGGGCGTCCGATATACTAATTAATCAAAACTATGTCAGGTATTATCGTAAAATCAATGGTGCAGATTTGAGCATAGATCTAGTGAAGACCAGTATCCATCTCACGTACGTACAAACTACGTTTTCCCAATAATTTTTGCATACATTAATTAAATATTTTTAAAGATTAAAGATAAGAAATTCCTGTAATATATATATTTAAGCTAATATTTTACTTTGTAAAAACTGTACCTTCATATTTGACTAATCGTTTTGTGTATAAATTCCTAGAGAAAAATAGTTGGTACGCGAGATGAATCAACTTTTAGAATACTAGACACCACCACTAGTAAATTTAACGATTTTGCCGATATATGCATAAAATTTGCGCTATTAGGTTTTACTATAATACCTAATATAGTTTGATTAATCAGTATGCCGGAAGCCTCATTGCGCTCATCACAAAGTTGTTTTTATGTAGAGCTATGTAATATTTTATGTATCTTTTATTTAAAAATTATACATAGGTTTATAAACCCAATGTAGACTACATACATAGTTATAAATAATTTAATAGTTATCTAAAATCTAGCAAATATAATAATATGTTTAGTAGCCAACTAAATAAATTCCTAGATAAAAATAAAAGGTATAATTAGAGTTATAGTTAATATACGAAGGTTATATAATTATATATGCAAATTATTAATATATAAAATTTATATAAAATTTTTATCTAGATTTTACGATATATAAAAGTTATATAATTGTAATATATAAAATTTATTAATATATAAAATTAATGTAAAAAATTTATTTAGATATTATGTTATACAAAATTTACTTAATTATAATAACTTTTTTTTATAAAATTACATTTATATAAGTTTAAATAAATTTTTATATAAATTCAAATTATAAATAATATATATATAAATATAATTTTTATATAATAACTATATAAAGTTGTAGATCTATGTAGAATTTATAAAAAACAACTTTGTGATATGCTATATTTGATCTACGTGACCTGGTGTTACGTATACGACAAATATAAAATATTATGCATTTATTTGTTTATCTATAAATTTGATCCCTAAACTTTATTTTGGATCGAATTCTACCGTGTAGTCAATTTGTGACAAGGCCCCAAAAATTTTTCAAATCAAGTTTTCAATTATATCAAAATTTTGGCTAAATTTGAAGTTTTGTAAATTTAGCAGATTGACTGAATTTTCTGATATTCAGATAAATTATCAAAATTTTTGTTTCAAAAAATTGATTTGAAAATTTTCCGGGTTCCTGTACGTTTCTGATAATATAACTTATGAAAAAAAATTGATAAACGATTAACGAGATTGATTTGCTAACATGTTCATTTTATTTTTATGTAATGTACAGCTCAAATAGCTAGTAATAAAATAAGTAGTAGATAATAAAAGGTTTGAATTATTTTTGAAATACTATTAACGTTCTTTCAAAGCTATATAGGTGACCATTTTTGAATCCATACCAATGTCATATATATATAATTAGTTTGGGTTCAAATATAATTACCCATATAATAAAAATTACGTTTTGATAATAAAAAATAAGAATTTATTGGTTATCCAAGAATTGAATCAATCGTCCAATCAGATGAAAAAATATTTATGCGATGTAAATTCATAATTATCAATATTATGTACAGAAATCTAAAGTAGAAAGGTTTTTCAAAAGCTTCTTTTTTACTTGAATGTAAAAAGAAAAAGAAGCCTGGAAATTTAAAAACCTGACCACACAAAACCAAGAAAAATACAGTATAACAATCACATTCATACGTAACACAGAATCTATAGATCGTTACTTCTTTAATATATAATTCTTTAAAATGTTCTTAGTTATCAAACCCCCAAAAATGTCTAATGCTCGGGTCGGGTTGGGTTGAAAATTTTCGGGTTAGAGCTTCAACACGAACCGAACCCGACCCGAAATTTTAGGGCTAATATATTAAATTTTTTTAAAAAAATGAATTCAAATAGCCATTTTGCTCTTAAACGTTTAATAATTCATGTAACGATGATCATCGAAGTTGGCTAATCAAATCTAAGCGCGGTATGCT